CGTCCTCTCAAACCCTTTTGACCCTTGACTCTCCCTTTTCCCCGTCCCCTCCGTAACATGCGACTAACCACTATCCTCGCCTGTCACATTGCCAGGGGACGAACGGAGACAAACTTGATCCTCACTTGGTGGAAAGCGAGGGCAAGGGAAGGGCAGGTGGTCCCTTGTGCCGCCAAGAAGGAAAGGTACCCGACTGTCGTGAACATCAAAGAAAGCGGAAAGGAGTGTTGTTTTCTCGACAAGGTCAGTTTGACTCAACCATCCTCCCGGACTGCATGACTAAGGCGATTGCATGGCTTGCTTGTGGGAAAGGGAAGGGAACTCATAAGGGGAGTTGAAAGGCAAAAGGGACCTGGGATTGCGGGAAGGGGCGATGTGTTGACCCCAATGGGGATTGTACTTGGTCATTTGTCTTGTGTGGTCTTGCGCAGGTGAGTAGCATGGGACGATGTGGACGGGCTGGATCCACGGATGAGGACTAGGGTGGGAGATTGGCCAAGGAAAGGGCTTGGACCCGGCTTAAGCCGCCGTTAATGCCGATTGAGTTGAGGTCGGCGCTTGGGCGGATGGTTGAAGCTTGGATTTGGTTTGTGTGGAGATTGCATGGAATGTCTCTCTCATGTGCAATGCGACGCCTGAAAAGACTAAGGGCGGTCTTGGGTAGGTGGATGTGATGCTAGTGGCTCTCGCAAAAAAAATACAGCGGCTAGGGGTTCGGGCGACGCCGCCCCGCCCCAAGGATGTCGTCGGGGCTGCCCTGAGACACTAGACTTAGTGAAAAGGTGCGTGGCCCAATGGATGACGCTTGGCCTGCGCACGATAAGAAGATGAGACCTCAATGAACTCCCTGGACTGCTTGTGTATTGGAAGGAGCAATTGCCTGCTCAGACTTAACCGAATCAAGAAAACGCCACGAGTGCCAAAGAGCTACCATCTTGACGCGAGAGCGGAGCTACATCCCCCAATGTAAAGCCCTCTCACAAAAGGCCCATCCCCGTCCATTTCATAGCACTAGGCGGGGGTGCCCCTGGGATGAACGACCCGCGCCCTGAGCGTGAGCGTGGGCGGGTCGAGCCAAATGGGACCCGCAGTGGGGTCGACCGAGGCTCGAAAGTCCTTCAGGGTGCGGCCCCTACAAAATTGGTGGAGGTGTCGGGTAAAGTGTTAAACTGACCCTGACGATCTCGAGGGGTCGCCCGACGCATGACCATGTACACAACTGAAGATAAGGAATATGGACTTGTGTATGCTCTAACCCTTTGAGTGAAGCAGATTTGAGGGCAGCTGGGCGCATGGCAAGGCCAGGCCTGGAGGTATAACATGCATGCTTGCACACTTGATCAGCCATCTCCTTTGGGGGTAACTCTAGTCCTCCTTCTCTCAGGCTGATGTTCGTCAGACCGGGGAAGCCTTGGGCAAGCCGCTGGTCGACCGTTCCTCTTCGTGTGAAAGAAGGGCTCCGGTTACCTGGCAGGCGGTTGGGATTCCGGGCTAGTCCGGGTTCCAATGAAAATCCCGCGGCGGAGCGATCCGACCGACCTGGGTGCCTTCTCTCCTCTTCGGAGCCCAGTGGGCTCTGTGCACCGCACTTAAATGCTTGAAGGAACCTCATATGAACACAAACGGTAATCGAGAAGGAACAATCCTGCCCTACTCGAAACAATCCTGCCCTATGAATGAAGACACAAGCAAAGATAAGGGAAGGAAGGGAGTTGCTAGACTCCAAGAAAAACTAGCTCACCTTTGAAGATGCTCACGAAAAGGAACCAGGCACTGTGCATGAAAGTTAAGGGTGAGTGGCACACACTGTCCTGAGAGAAAATCGGTGAGCAATGGGTAGGAAGCGCTGGGTGCACCAGGGGAAAGGCACTTGTGTTATGTGTGTCCCACTTGGGGCATGTGCTTGCATGATGGGGATATGGAGCGTCCTGCCATTTGGAAGGAAAGGTGGGGTCTGCACCGGCCACTGCGGGTTGCCAAACATCGTTCTCTTTGCAGATTGCCGTTTGTTCGTATGCTGGGGTCAGGCCACCGAGCTGTCTAACGGGAGTTTGTCACGTCGAGTGCTTATTAGCATTCTCGTCCGCGCGGTGATGGGCTTCGGCTCGATTGATCTGTCGGGCGGGGTGTGAAACGTTCCTCAGGCGGGGCCTAGCCTGTGGACTGGCGGAGGGAGCACCACTGCATGGGGGCAAAGACGGAGCCTGGTAGGCGATCAGTAGCTTCTCGTAGCCTGGTTTGGGAAAGGTTGTTCCTTATCGGACCAATGGAAGTGAATGCCTGGACGGCTGGCTCCAATGGCCCTACCGAGATGTGCGGGGTGATTCCCAAGATTAACGGTGGGCACACGAGCGGCAAGTCGGGATGGGGTATTCTGGGCAAGAAGGTGAGGGCGACCCCCCACTGGAGTCTGGGTACCGCGCTCGCGACGGTTGAGCTGTGCTTGAGGTATGGGATAAAACCCTACCGATAGTAACAGTGGAGAGACCACTTTGGGAAAAGGGTCGGTGAGGAGATGACCGACCTGAGTGCGACGTTTGCCTGAATTTTGCTCGATGTGCCTTCCTCTGTAAAGTTGCCTAATGAATGTTGGATGGGGGCTGAGCTTCTGAGTCTATTCTTACCTCCAAATCTAAGTCCGCACGAGTGAGAGAACATGATGATAAAGGCTGGATAGGAATCGGAAGGAAATGGAACCAAGAGAAAAGGAAAGGCCGGCTGAGGGTGATCGACTGGGGGTATGGTAGGGCAATGGCACCCGAGAAGTGGATAGGAAAGGCTAGGAAGACCCGGATGAGGGGTCGGAAAACGATTCTCGTCAAAAGTAAGGAGGCGATCTGACCATGAGGGGCCGTGTGGTGCTCTCTTATGAAAACAGTACGGGAGCCGGGAAAAACAAGAATGGCGCGATGGTTGTCGCCTCCTGTCTACACTAGTGGTCCGGAAATGCCTATAGACATAAGGAATGGGGTGTCTGTTGTTCTCCCGGAAGAAGGAACGTGGACGGACCTAGAACCAGCATATGAAACCGTGATGTCGACTATGTGCAGGCAGGGAGCGATGGTCCGGGAACTCGAGCTATGGGACTGCACGTGGGAACCGAAGCGAGTCAGGAGGGGAGAAGAGATGTCTATACCACCGAGTTATGAATGGAAGGGGACCACATGTGACTGGCGGGGGCATGGAATTGTGCCAGAATTGTCGTACCTATGGATAGAACGTGCTTGGAACCCGCTGAGGGAGGAGGAAGGATGGGAGGAGATTGCGGAAGGTAAGGTAGAGTCGGTTGGGACGGTCGTTCTCTCAGAGCAAGGTTGGCATCTGTTCTACACGACGCTCGCGGCAGGACAGAACCCGATGTGGCTCCTAGGGGACGCTGAGGCAAGGGCTCGGCAGGCAGGGGAGAAGTTCGCCAACCAGGGCTGGGATACGGTCAGCAGTAGAGTCGTAATGGGAGGGTGGAAGGAATTTAAACCACCTGGCACCCGGACCAAGACCTGGGTACCCGAGTTTGTGGCAGACTGGTTTGGGGGCTTTGATCACGTAACGGAGGTAGCCGATACGATGGAACGAATACACGTGGACTGCGCATGGCTGGCAGAGGAATTTTACAGGACGTCCTTGAAATTCGGGCCCTTCCACGGCGATAGAGCCCGGGAGGTCCTTATCATTTTGGACATCGAAAGGAATGACCGGCAGAAGGTGGCCCCGGAAACTAGGGAGGCCATAATTCGCCGTGAGGTAGCAGCAACACCGTGCTATGTGGATGACATGTTCAAACTGTTCGAGGTACTGTGGTTCGACTAAACACGGGAAAGCCGTAGGCCAGGCAAATGTGGGGAAAAAATTGCTAAGATAAGGAAATGGGATGTCTGGCCATTGTAGGATTCGGTGCGGATCGCGAGCCAGGAGACCGAAGGCGAGTGTGCGATGGTGCGAAGAAGGACGTTCCTTGAAGAACGGCCCTTGGGCATTGGACCGCCTAGGGAAGTACCGGGGGGGATAGAGGTTAGCTTGCCAGCAGCAAGTGAAGGTTGGCACCCGGTGGCAGATTGGGTCGGGGTCGAGCTCGCGGAAAATATGGTTTATCTGGTGACGAAAGTTGAATGGCGTGCGGATGAGAATGGGGAATGGAACCCGGACCCGCGAGGGCATGTGCGTGCAGAGGGACGACTGTATGTGTCGGAGGATGGATGGAAGGAGTTCGGAGTCCGGCTGGCATCAGGAAGAGAACCGTTGAGCATGTTTGAAGGGGCATGGCAGTTAGTATGGCAAGCGGGATTTGAGTTCGCGGATCCGGGGTTTGACGATGTAACAGCGGACCTTAGGGTAGCCATGGTCGGGAATTTTGAGTTGCCTAGCGAAAATGTAAGAGTCAGGATGTTGCCTTTCTTGCTGGAGAAGTGGGGCGGTCTGGAACTTGCTAGGCAGGTAGTAGCCGACCTTGCAAACTTGACATACGAAGATGCGATGGTATATCGGGAGTACTACCGGGCCTTCTTAGAAATGGGGCCGTTTAGCGGTGAACAGAAGTATGAGGTATTGCGTATCCTGCGCGTTGTGTTTGGCACTAGGTCGAGGGCCCCGGTCGTGGGTTGTGAAGTCCTGTGGGGTGTCGTCCGGCAGGAAATAAATCAAGGGATGGCGTACGTAGATGATCTGTACCGATTGTATGAGCCGACGGAGGTAGAAACAGGTCGGTAATAGGGTCGAAGGAAGGGAAAGGAATAGAAAGGGGAAGAGAAGCGCTAGCCTAGGGATCAGGGAGTTGTTCGGGCGAAAGACCAAATGGAATAAGTAAACTCGCGTGCTGTTTAAAACTGTGCAGGGGATTTCCAAGATTGGAAATGGCAATGAGACGAGCCCGGATGTCGCGACGACCCATGCACCCGTGGCCACCCATGGAAAACGGAGGTGGATGGGAGGTGTCGCTCCCAGCAAGCTATGTGATTCAAGGACTGGATGCCGAATGGAGGGCCGTAACCCTGGGAAGAGGTCAGGCGTTCATGATGGTGGAATGTTTGTGGGATGGTATGAGGATTAACAGGGGACCGGGTATACTGACCTCAGGGTGACGGGGACCGTATACCTGCCTGAGCTCGGGTGGCACATGTTAGGGACGAAATTGGCACTAGGGCATGGGTTGTTACCAATCTTCCAAAGGGCTACCAGGGTACTAAACCGAGTAGGCCAGGAGGTGCGAGGAAGAAGGAATGTGGAGCTAAGGACTCAGGTGGAGGTAGGAGGCTGGCGAGAGTTTAAGGTCCCAATGATAGGGCTGAAGTGTCGAGTACCTCGCTTCATGGTAGACCTGGTATTCGGCAGCCTCAAGAGGGCAAGGGACTTGGTGGACTCGACCCTGGTCTGGACCCACCTCTTCCGGCCACAAACAACGGCCATGTTCTACGATGTGTCGGTCGGCCAAGAATTACCTTGCCGGGGTGGCGGACCTGTTCGAGGAACTGAACAAACAAGGCGGACCTGAGGGACCGGCGTGAGGAAAGACGTCAGGAGAGGGCAGAAAAAAAATAAGGATGGGTATTAAGGTAAGGAGAGTCGCCAGCAAAAGGGGCAGTGATTGGAGTCCCGCCCTACCTGACGATGTGGGTGGAAGGAACTAGGAGGACCACCGGCACCTGGAACGTCGAACAGCCAGGTGTCAAAAAGTCGAAAGGACTGTTTTTGAGAAGAAAGCCACTGGGCTTAGATACCGCCCTGAGAACCGGAGTACGGTAGGGACAAAAATCCGAACCACGACTGCAAGTCCCTCGGTAGAGGAAAAACTAAATAATGTCCTAAGAAGTTAAAAGTCAGGAGAGTCGTCCCGACTAACGAAAGACGAGAAAAGCATGGAAACAACGGGGTTTTTAGGGCCGGAATTAGATAAACCATGAACAACCAGCCATTTTTCGCAAAAAAAAAAATTCATGTGCAGGCTGGGTAAAGGAATAGCAATGGAGGAAGAAATCCAGGATCAGCAGAGCAAGGGGAACCAGGGTGCGAATGGGGATGGGGAACGAAACGAAGGATCGGCAAGAGATTGAGAGTCAGCCAAACTGGAGGGAACCCGAGAAGAAGGGAAGGACCTCTCAACAGGAGAAAGCTCCGGGAAAGCTGGGGGTAGCAAAAGGGGATCTCAGAAAAACAGGGAAGGGGGAAGCGATATGAGAACGAGCCCTCGGCACTCAGCAGGAACCACCCCTAAAAAAACGAAAGTCGCGGATACCCGTTGTAAACTGGCCGAGATAGAAAAGCGCACTGCAGAGTTTAAGGCAAGGCTTATCGAGCAGATGATGGTCGGGAATGAGGGGGACCCCCAAGGCGCAGGGTCGCGAGAGGGGCGAAGGACTAGTCAGGACGAGGCCAGGTATGAAGGAAAGGATAATAGCCACAAGGGAACGCCTAGCAAGAAGGGGAAGGACAAGGACGACCCCCCGGCGGAAGGGACGGAAAACGCTATGACCCCACCCGCCATCAACAGCGGCACTAGCAGATTGCCCGCCACGTCGAAAGTAACAGGGGCGTGTGACGGACTTTGGAGCCTTAGGAAAAGAGTGCTAGGATGGTTTGACCCAGAAGGAACGCCGAAAACCAGGGAAAAGCGGAGGGAAAGCAAGGAAGGGGAAGGGACCAATGCAGCCGGAGAAGCAGGTAGCTCCGAAGATGGTCTTAAGAGGATAGTCGCCACCCTCACCAGGACACTAAACAAGAACCAGGGATATCTCACAGATGCAAAGAAGAAACTCACATTCGATGGGGCCAACATTGCGGAGTTTCTAATAGATTATGAGAACCTAGCAGCCTTACTGAAATGAACGGAAGAGGAAAAGATGGAGCACCTAGGGCAGCACGTGTCGCTAAGCTTGGGAAGGGACATTATGGCCATCGTCGCCTCCAGTGGATCCTGGAAAGAAACCAGGAATGAGATGATGAGGAAATACCTGAAGGCAGAAAAAATGGCAACAGAGGCCGAATTAGCCGCAGTCCAGAGGAAAAACTATGCCACTTACAACGATTTCCTAAGGGCATTTACGTTAGTGGCTCTACGAATTCCCGGGGTAACGGACCGCATACTTCCTCAGGCAGTTCTCCGAGTTCGATAAGGATAAGATTTTGTCAGCATACCAGCAAACCAGTAAGTTCGAGTACATGAGAGATGTGGACTTCAACACCGTAACAGACCTTGCGGAAAAGACAGTGGTAACTGAGACCCTGGCCCTACTTAAGGAAGGGGAGGTTATAGACCTGACCGGGAAAACGGGGGAGAAGGTCAAGAAGGGGATAGAGAGCCTGCACGAACGAGTGCATGGGGTTGACAACAAGATGGAAAGAATGGAAAATGCGCTGTTTGTAATGCAGGCGCAAGTGTCCAGACCCGCCCTCCCGCCCTAAGAGGCCGTGGTTCCGGCAGCTGTAGCAAACCGGGGATTTGGCAGGAGGGACCCGGCCAACGAACAATGCAAGTATTGCACCATGATCGGGGATTTCGTACGGGCCTGTCCGAGACTTAATCACGATATTGAGTGGCAGAGGTGTAGCAGGTCCCTCAAAGGCGAGATCCTCGGACCCCGGGGGAAGCGTGTAAATTGGAACTCGCCAGGGGGGATGCGGCGAGCCGTCATTCTCCTAAACAACTTAGAGATAGCTGCCGTAGAAGCGGAGCCGATAGCCGAGATTGTCTGGGATCAACCAAGGGGACGGGGACCACAGGCCAATTTTATCTTAGAAGGCAATAACCAGGATAGGGTAAACATCACCACTAGTCAGGCCGGCGCAGAAAAGAAGCTTATTCAGGATACGGTAATGGAAGAACTTGCAGGGACTAGCGCAGGCCAGCAAGAGGCCGAAGCCGGGGAACAAGAGAAGGTTTATGGGAAGGTAAGGGAAGAAGAACCGGTAGACAAGGCCATGGCAGCAAAAAAGAAGTTCAGGCATCAAATCCCGACCTTGACTTCGCCAGAAATCGATGGCACCTTGAGTAAGCTACTGGGTACCATGGTATCCGTGTCCTTTCAGACCATGTTGCAAGCCAGCCCGAGGTTGCTTAAAGGACTCAGGCAGTTGCTAACGCGTAAGCGCATAGAGATAGAGGAGACTCCGGAACTGCAAGAGCAGGAGACGGAAGAGGCCGAGGCGCCACAAGGAGTCTCTAACCTCCAAAGCATTCCAGGGGGTCTGGGAGATTTGGAAAAAGCCTTTGCGGACATCCGCCTAAGCCTACCGGATCGTGAAGGTGGCGAAGTCATGAGAGCACCGCCCGGGACAAAGCTTAGTTTTCATGCATTACCAGTAGGGAAACTGAAAGTTCGAATTGGATCTCACCACACTGACGCGTTAGTGGACGGCGGAGCAGAAATCACCCTCATATGACGAGATTTCGCAACGGTCACGGGGTGCACAGTAAACAAGGAGGTAGTAGGGAGTATTCGGGGAGCCGGCGGCGAAATTCCTTTCACAGGGTATGTCACGAAATGTGCAGTCAGGGCGGGAATCCGGGAATCCATCTGGTCCTTTCAGCGGATGACCGTGATGGAAGAAATGTATCACGACGTAATCCTCGGGAGACCGTGGTGCGCCAATGTGGAAATGATACGAATGCATCTGCACGACGGCACATACATGGTAGACATAGAGGGCCCAGTGACCGGCCGCGGGGAACTCCTCCGACTTCTTGGAACCGTAGGGGACCCTCCAAAGGGCAAATTGGCAACCTGGTCTCCAACATTTGAAGAAAGTGCGCGGAAGGGGGCATTCGCACGAATGGAAGGCATGAGGGAGAGGGTAGAAATTATGATCGAGGAGGCTTTTAGCAAAAAGGAATGGATCAAGTGGGCCTGCCCGTAAAAAAAAGGAGGCCAGAGGACGAGCCCCTGGGGGTTATGGTGGCGGAGAAGGAGCTGGAAGTCGAACTCGGGGCCAGCCTGCCCAAGCCAAAGGAAGGTCGTAACGAGACTCCCGAGCTAGCACTCGAAATCCCAGACTTGTTGCATCTTGTTAAGGGAATCAGGTACCACAAAGTGGGGGTGGACCCAACAGCGCTTGCTAAGTTTGAGGATGAGGTCCGAAAAGGCTACTGCTTGAAAGGAAAGATAGTTAGCATCCAGGCTCGCATCATGGAGGTAGCAAGGCCAACCCCGACCGTTCATTTTTTAGGAGAACGATCCCAGAAGGCAGTGTGCGAAAGTACAAACCCGTAGGAAAGAAGGCCAAGCCGGTCTCGATCCTAGTAGAAACATCGAGGGAAGAGGCCATGGAAAAAGAGGAGGAGATCCTGCGGGTTATAAGGGAGAGACAGGCAAAGGAAGGGCATCACATACCAGATGACGTAGCAGATACCATGAAAATAGGAGTCGAAGGATTCCTAACAGCGGAAGAAACTCAGTTGATAAGAAAGGCGTGTCAGGAGTTCCATTTAGCTTTCGCTTTCAATGATCACCAGAAAAGGCGATTGGACGCAAAGTTAGTTCCCCCTGTCAGGATCCACAACGTACAGCACGAGTGTTGGAATGATAAAGGGTCTGCCTATGAGTTTGGGATAGCAGCGGAGGTCACCAACCTGCTTAGAGCCAAGATAGATTCCTTCGTGGCTGAACCCACCGCATTCCCCTACGCGAACAAGTGGTTCGTGTTCAGGAAGCCCAATAAGACGCTCAGGTGGATCAAGGACCTGCAGAAGCTCAATGTGGTAACAATTAGGGACGCAGGTTCGCTTCCACAGGCCGATTTGTTGGCGGAATCTCATGCGGGGCGGAGCATTTACTCCCTGGTAGACATGTACTGAGGATATGATCAGTTGCCGCTCGATGCGAGGGATAGACCGTATATGCACACCCCCGTAGGACAACTGCAGATGCAGGTGATCCCTATGGGCTTCACAAATACGGTAGCAGAGGCTCAAAGGAGGATGCTCGCCGTCGCAGGGGATATGTTTCCGGAAAAGTGTGAACCTTACATAGATGATAATCCCGTGAAAGGCACAAGATACAAGGATGAGACAGAGGTACAACCAGGAGTGCGGAAGTTCGTTTGGGACCACTTGCAGGATATTAAGGACCTACTCCAGCGATTCCTAGTTTACAACATTACTGCAAGCGGACCCAAAAGCATCCTGGCCGTCCCGGAAGTAATCATACTGGGATTTCGTTGTGGAGCTTGCGGGAGGAGACCCGATCCAGCAAAGACTGATAAGATCTCCCAGTGGCCGACACCCCTGCGCACCACGACGGAAGTACGAGCCTTCCTAGGGGTGGTGGGGTTCTGGAGGATCGTCATCAAAGGATTCGCAAAGATAGCAGAGCCTATCCGCGCCATGATTAGGGAAGGTGGCACTATGGATTGGACCGAGGATAGGGAAGCGGCAGCCCAAACTCTGAAAGACATCCTGTCGTCCGATCAGGTCACTCTAGCAGCACCCTGTTTCAATGACGAGGTAGGACGGCCCTTCATCCTAGAAACAGACAGGGGACCGCTGGCAGTTGGAGGAGTATTGATACAGAGAAGTGAGGAGGGCAAAGAAAGACCAATCAGATTTGAAAGCAGAACCCTGAATTCGGCAGAACGGCGGTACTCGCAGTTCAAGAAGGAGGTCTTAGCGATCTTACATTGCCTTAAGACCTTCCAGGCATACCTGTTTGGGAGGCGATTTATCCTAAGGATCGATCCCACCAACGTTGTCGGGGCCCTAAAGAACTACAAGCCTGTAGATCCGACCGTTGGCAGATGGATAGGCTTCACATGGCAATTCGACTATAAGGTCGAGCGAATTGCAGGGCTTCGAAATAGGGCAGATGGCCTGAGTAGGGTATGTACCACGCCAGAAGGAGTAGAGGACGCGAAACCAATTGACTCCTTCCTGGAATACGAAGGAGGGACCCTTGTTGCGGATAATGAGATGGCAGACCCAGCGATTACAACAGGTCAGTTGCTGATTCAGACCTTGGAAAAGGGTGCACCTGCAATAGTTGCAGAACTCAGGGAAGGACCAGTGACCACGGTCAGGCGTAAAGAGGAAAAGGACTCGTGGGGAGCAGAGGTAGGGGCCAGAGAGGAGCTGATGGCAATGGTCGGAGAGGGGGGACGGGACGCCGTGATGACGTTGGCCGAAACCTGGATACGGAAGGAGTGCCAGTACCTAGTCAACCAGACCCGAGAGGAGCAAGGTACCGATCAGAGGGAACAAGAGTTCTTCCTCATACATATGTATGAGCCTCATACATATGTATGAGGGCGTCTTTAGAGAAATCAGTCTGCTGCTCATAGGGAACAAACAGCCTATGGAAGTCAGTCTGAAGGCTAGGGAGGAACCTGGGAAGTATGCCGTAAGAAACGGTTATCTATTCAAGAAAGAGGAAGGAATGATGCCTAGACGAGTCGTGTGTGGAAGGTCTAGGCAACTGGACGTAATTCAGGCAATGCATGATGGGCTAGCTGGAGGTCACCGGTCGTCTAAGGGGACGCTTGCAAAGATTGTGCCCCTGTACTTCTGGCCAGGGATGGTAGGCATGGTCGCGACGTACTGTCAGACGTGTCTAATACGTCAAGAGAGGAGCTCTGTACGGGTTTACGAACCCCTTAGACCCACTCGGGTACTGGGACCTGGACACCTTGTTCACCTCGATCTTGCGGTTATGCCCGTATCAACGGATGGGTTTAGATACATCTTGGATGCAAGGGATAATCTCAGTGGTTATGTAGAGGTCGTTGCCCTCAAGAAGAAGACGGGGAAAGCAGTGGCCGACTGGGTGGAAGATTTCTACCTAAGACATCCCTTCGTGCGCAGGTTCATAGCAGACAATGGGACATAATTTGTTAACCAAGAACTGTTGAACAGGCTTAAGACACTGTGTGTGGCGATCAAGATCACCGAGCCCTACCATCCTGAGGCAAATGCACCAGTAGAAAGGGGTCACCGGACTTTGAAGAACACAATTGCAAAATTGGCAGCAAATAATGTGGGAAGTTGGACATGGTTTCTCAAGCAGGCAGTCTTCGCCGAGAACATGACTCCAAAAAGAACAACGGGATGTATTCCAGCAGAACTCTGGTATAGAAGGGAGATCGATTTTCCGATAGAAGCCTTGGTCCCTACCTGGAACAGGCTAGATGACGACCCACACTTAAGCACGGAAGAGTTAATCACCGCACGTTGTCAGCAGGTCGCCAGAAATGAGGAGGCACTCGAGGAAGTAGTCAATCGTGTGACAGATAGCCGAATGAGGGATAAAGCAAGGTGGGACCAGATCAAGAACATTCGGAAGGAGCCGCTCCAGGTGGGGGAAAAGGTGCTAGTTAGGAACTCGGCGCTTGAAAGCACATGGTCCGGGCAGCTGGGAAAAAGATTTAAAGGGCCTTACAGGATTGCTAAGCGAGTGGGACTGAACACATTCGAACTTGAGGATCTTAATGGTACTAGTATAAGAGGGTCATTTCCGGGACAGAGACTGGTCAGATTTTTGAGTTGGGATCCGGTGGAACAGTGGCTACAAGAGGCTCAGGACAGGGAAATAGGGGAAGTCACAACTTGAAAAGTAGACAACTGGCTATGATCCTGGACCGCCTCCCTATGAGAGTGATCATGACCGCAAGGGTTGTTCGTTTGTGTGACTTGATTTTCTGTGAAACATGGGGAGACTGTCCGGGCTGAGTATGCATGAGGTTGGGAATTGGGGACAGTGTACTATAGTTTTTGTGGGCAACTCTGGGGACTGTCTACACGAGGTATCTATGGGCTGGAACACTGTACAAAGTTTTTGCGGGGGATATTCTCGATCGCCTACATGAGGTACCTATGTGGGGGGGGGGGGACAGTGTGCTTAGGGGGATAAGGGAGGATGGAATCACCAACCGCGCGAGGGCAAGCAAAGGTTCTGAGAAGGCCGGCAAATCTGCAAATGGGGATGGGAAGGAATGTGAGTGTATGGGGGAGGGTTGTGGTGATTGTTATGCATAAACAGGACCAGGCAGGGAGCAAACAGCAAACAAAAAAAATGGAATTTGGAAATGAAAACGACGGCAACGCCATTAATAGGCCTACTGAGGGACAGTCGTCGAGGCAGGCTGGAGAATCGAGCTCCAGGAAAAGGAAATTGTACGTGGGGTTTGATCACAACCTGGTTGTGAACAGGGGGGGGAGAAAGCAAGGGACTAGGGGACCTTCACCACCAAGGGAGGGGGAGCCAATAGTCCTCCCATCGGAAAGTGACACCAGCAGTGAGGAAGAGAGGCACCCAGGGAAAAGGCCAAGGCTGGAGGAGGACGTGCCCGTGGAGTTTATCGACCTCACCAGCGACGAGGAGGAAAATGAGGTAACAACGCCCATGAGGGAAGAACGGGGAAGAGGGGAGCAGTCGGGTGAGAAAAAGGACAAATGGATAGAAGAGTTCGGACTTGAGTTCAGCGATTGGTTTGATCAATGGGGCACTATCTTGCGATATCAGTGGATTATGAAGGCAAGGGAAAAGTTGGTCAGAGGAGAGGATCTATCCCCAACAGCCTTCTTCACAGAACAGACACTCCTCCAGTTGCAAGGAATAAAGAGGCAAATGGAGCAGGAAATGGAGGATCACGCAAGGAGGGAGACTCAACGCAGGCCACCTGGTCGATAGAGGCACAACAACCGTAATGGGGAATAGCTAGAAGTTGGGAGGGTTTGGTGCCTGGGCAGTCGGAGCTGCCATTTTGGACTTCGCATTCAAAATCTTTTTATGAATGAATTTTCTAAGCTTGAAGTGAACAAGGACTGGGTAGTGAGTGCTACTTTGTAACGAATGGTTGTTTCTTCAGGGAAAGGCATGAGGGTTTCTGCGCTTAGAATAAAACTCTGGATGGTCGGGTAGATTAAGGGAAAAGAAAAAGGGGAAACAGCGGGGATCTAGACGAGACGAGTCTGTAATGTTGTCTTTGCATTCGAACTCTGTCTCCTTGTTTTTCCTTGTAAGGACTGGGATGAAACTACTTTTTTGGATTAAGGAAACTAGTAGAGGGTGGGTGACCAGAGTTACTTTGTATAAGTACTCGCTCCGTATGCGAAATATGAGTTTTTTTGGTAGTAAGAAAGGGATTGGGGGTTGATTGACTTTGTCTCGAGGAAATGGGCAGGGCATGTGAACTCTTCAATGTTGGAAGAAACACTCATGGCGAAAGTCTTTCCTTTGAATTGTGTATCCATGATTGAATGAGTCGTTGCATGAGTCCTTGTGAGAGGTTAGGGGACCTATGGGTAAAGAGATATCCTCTTCCCTAGGAGCCTAACCCAACCTATCTCAGACAAGTCCACAGCATTGGGAGGATATGAGAAGTCAGGAAAGTGGCAGGGAAACATCGAAATGGTCCAGCAGCCCCTTGTAATGGTTGAACGGCCGGGCGGGCTAGTGCTGCTTGGGGCCGCGAGCCTCAACTTGAGTACTAGACGCTAAGTCGGATGTATGGATGGATGTAAGAATGACAAAAGGCATGAGGAAAAGGAAGAAGCATGCGTTAAAACCCAAGACGATGGCCGCCTTCTAACCCCCAAGACGAGATAGGATCCGTGTCCTCGAGGCCCACCCCCTCGGGCGCTAACATTGCAATGGACAGGGGTGACCCTAACCAGGCTGTTCAATTGAAATTGACAAGGATGACCCTAATTAGGCTGCCCAATTGAAATGGATAAGGATGGTCCTAACCAGGCTGTCTGATTGCAATGGATAAGAATGGGCCTAACCAGGCTGTTCGACTTGGAAATGGAAAGAACGACCCTAACCAGGTTGTTCGGAATGGCCCCTTACAAGGGTCATTCTTTGGAATTGGCACTGGGGTCCCTTTGCATGGCTGCTTGTGATGCATGGAATTGGAAAAACGGAGCTTTGGAAAAGAAATTGGAAGAGCTGAGCTTTGGAAAAGAGATTGGAAGAACTCAGCCTTGGAAAGGATATTGGACTCAGCCTTGGAAGAGATATTGGATTGAGCATTGGAATTGGATTGAGCCTTGGAATTGGATTGAGCATTGGAACGAGATTGAGTATGGGAATGAGACTGAGCATTGGAATTGGATTGAGAATTGGAAATTGCATTGCATAAACAGGGGACCCGAGGCAACTTGAAATGGATTTGGAAATGGCATTGAAATGGATTTCTCTTTTCTTCTAGTCTTTGGCCTCAGCAAGAGGGGGATATCGGTGCATGCACCGTGACCCCAAGACCTCTATCTCTTTGAGGGAAAAAGTCTCAGCGCGACCTGTTCCTCTTGAAAGAGGATGAGGGTTAAAGGACTAAGGCACCTACCACTTGGATCGGTGCGGGACGTCCGGAACCACCTCCGACAATGAGCTCTAGTCGGGGAGTTCCAACTGCGCCTCCTGTTAAATGCCTAAACGTCAAAGGGCGAGAGAGCCAAATGGGCAGGAAAGTCATTCTCATCTAGTCTATTTTGGTACTCTCCAACTACATGCCATGTCATAGAGGGGTGGCATGGCCGTTTGGGCCGGACCACGGCTGCCCGCACTAAGTTGGGCGGCACTGTCCAAGGGGAGAGGCTTGGCGGAGTACCGGGTGGAGTCCGCGGCCACCACGGGGCATTGACACCGCCCCGCCGGAGCATTACAACCGCTTCGGGACTAATTGCGAGGTCTTCGTAACTGCACTCGCGGATAATTGAGAGCCCCAACTTTCTTGAAAGAAAGAGGCCGGAATCCATAAAATCACCACTCGGGAGGAACGATTCGTGAGGAACGCTCTTACAGCTAGACGAGGCCCTGGCGGGCTTGGATTGGACCTACCTGACAGACGTGAGAAGGAACCTCAGTATTGGTGCTCGCCACGTAAGAGAACAAAGGTCGGACCGAGTAGAAGGATGAGGGGTTGTCCGCTGGGGAGGAACTGAACACTTCCTTTTGTGAAGCGGATGGGCTTGTGTCCTTGACTTGCGGTTGGTGGGCCAAAGGTCTCGTGCCTCCGAGTGAGGACCAGTCGCGCGATGGGGACATCGCGTTTTGAGTGGGGGGAAGGCGTGCCATCTACCGAAGAATACGCATGGAAAAAAAAGACTTGTGACTAGTTTGCATGAGCCTGGGAAAAGAGAATCTGGCAAGACGCCCAGAATAGAAAAAGATTTGTAATCGATTTTGCATGAGCCTGAGAAAAGGGGCCTAGCAAGATGCCCGAGCAGAAGAGACTTGAGCAAGTAATTGGTATGAGCTTGAGGAAGGGTTGGTATGATTGAA